TTTCTCCTTTCTCGTTCGATTTTACATGATATTATTTTTCTTTATTGTCTTTTACATCGTGCAACTTCGTATGTTGTAGTCGGAATATATTTTATAGCTGCCTAATAATTGTTGGGGAAAAGATACATATTTTAACGAATTACGGGGCTATGTAAGCAGAGTCATCGTTGAAATAAAAGAAAATGCGAAAACGAAGATTACGAGGAAGGAAAAACTGTGGATTTAATTTAGCGGCATTACGATGGCCTCCCGCTAGGTCAACTTGAACGAAATGGCACCGTAATAGCTTTCCCCGGAGTGGCGTGTTCCAATGGACAACCTCTGCGTATAGTAGCCGATTTGCGAAGAAAAATTTTGTCACGCGACGATTGATCGGAGAACATCGTAAAAATATCATTTTCCTTTGTCTAGAACTTGATTTTAACTCGAAATGTAATTATATACGGTCATCCTTTGGAAGATCGTTCGAATGTATCGAATGTACCGTATCGTCGCACGTGATATAGAATAAATAATAAATTCTGCCGGAAATGAAAGAACGATCAACAAATAAATATGTATTGGAAAATTCTTTGTTCCCTCGTTGACCGATATTTTGTCAGCGCGGGAAACGGTTCTGCTCCCTAGGGTTACATAAAGGAAAAAGAGGTCGCTGTGGATGCCTTTAGGCGCGTTTTCATGAGGCGAGAGACGCGAGTGACGTGACCGCTGCTACGGTACGCGTGATTACAGAGAGAATACAAATAGACGAGCGGCTAGACAAACGCGTGTGTCATTCGCCGCTCGATAACCAGATATCCGTTTCTCGGAATTGCACGCTTTTAAAGCGTATAATCTTGAAACGTTCGAATCTCGTTGCTAACTCTAGCACAAAGTTCCAAAGACGTGTTCACGAAGAACACGTGTGCGCATGCGCCGTCAGCATCGCGAATTTCTGAAACTTGTACGCGTATCGATGGAACATGTCCATCCGACAACCTATTTCATGCATACGCGGTGAAGATTAGTTCTTGAAAAACACCGGAGCGTCGCACGCTTCTAAATGATTTACAGCGGTACGTCTATCTTCGCTATCTGCGAATGCTTCTAAAACTAGAGGAATATCAATATTACGAAAGAAATAAAAATAGAGTAAAAAATAAATAGATGCCGAGTAATTGGAGGAAACACAACGTTAGAACTTTTCTAGAGACTCGATAGAGGTAAACCGTATATTTAAATTAAGCTATTATATCGCGTCAGAAATTGGATTATTCGCATACTACGAATCGCAAGTATTTAAGGTTTCGGGTAGCTTGGCTCGAAGCCTGGAGGCATTGTCATTAGGCAATGAATTTCCATGCAAATGCATGGTTCCAGGGAGAATTAATAATAAAGCGATGCAAGCTTTCAAACACCGTTGACGATAGAGATTATATTGCCGACATAAATTTGAATATCCATGTACTTCGCATCGTATCGCGTCGTACCATAATGCCCAACGTTCGTTTTCCGCCTATAAATTAATTTAGACTGGCAGAGACGCGAAGGTTCCGTTGCTACGATATTGCAGATGTTCGCTGATCGTAACGCAGAATTCTACGAAATTCGATACGAATGATTTCAGTCGAACCGATTACTTCAACGTAAAACGTAACTAACGCGATCGGAATTCAAAAATCATTGCACCCGCTATCTGTCCAAAAGAAAAATGTATCGCATCGCCAAGTTCCCAGGACATAGCGATTTTGTTACCATCTCGTTAAGTAGATATACGTATATTTTTAAGCGTTATTTTACGGCAAGATGACCGATACTCGACGAAGCGTGAAAATCTGTTCGGCATGCCTGCACTTGACACTATTCTATGTACATATATCGGTCGTCCGTGTATCCGTTCGTCTGCCAGCGAATCAAGGAACATTTTACATAACATAACACGACACAACACCGAATCATGGTGGGAACATATAATAAAAGATACGCGGATGTGCGGATACAGGGTCGAATCTAGAAAATCGAGGTGACTGCGGAAGACGTTCATCGAACCCGGAGGTGCACGGAGGCACTTGTTTTCGGCCGGTAACGACCCAGCGGAGGCTGTCGACGGTGACGGCGACGCGACGCGTCGCGTCGTGCGTGCTCGTGCGTATTCGTTCTGCGACTCACCGGGTAGGGAGAGGACTCGTCGTGTAGCACCACCCAACGACGAGCGTCGCGACGGCCCCCGAAAGACAAGCACGTGGAGTACGGTATCATGACGACTGCAGCGACAAGAAGGGGGCGTATGGTATGATCCGCTTGAATATTGTCGCCAAGGACAGGACGACGGGAGTCTCGGCGGATCGTCTATGCTGTGACCGTGGCTGCCGACGGAGCTCGCGGTTCGTCGTGCACGTTGACGTTCAACGGTGTTCGGACACGCGTTCCGCCACCCAGATCAACGAACGAACGCGTCGGAAAAGCCACGGTGCAAAACAACAGGCGACCGGCTAGCCGAGGACCACGAGACTCGAGCGAACCCAGGGAATCGCGGACGCTGATTGGTCGACCCGGCTACCACCACCGTTCCAAGAATCGTTCTGCGCAGCCGCGGATAGAGGATCAATGAGACTCGAACGACTCGAAGTCGAGTCGCCGTCGTCGTCGACAGTTGTCGAGTCGAAAGTCGAAGAACGTGTGCGAGATTCGCCGAAGCCAGGAGTCTGAGAATACCTGGGAATGTCGAAGAATGAGAACCGGGTCGCGATCTTTTCAAAACACTTTGCAACAATGCTATAATACGCTAGGAAAAACCCTACCAATTTATTCAACGAAAAATAATTTGTGCTTTTGTATGTATAGTGTTATCATGAAAAGTTATTTGTCGGTAAATTGTAATTTATAACTCTTCTATAATCGTAATAATGAAACTAATAAAAATGAAAGTATATATTTTAAGTTATACTTAAGAGTATAAGCATGTAACGTTCTTTTTGTAAGATCCGAATGCGAGTACTTGGTTTAATTCTAGGTACACACAATGTACGTTCACAGTATATATCAAATATTTATATTTTTGATAACTTCTGACAGTCCTCTTTCTACATCGATGCAGTTTCCTAATTGTCTTTTTTTTATGTTGTATAATTCATTAGTCATTCACAATGTCGAACTCGATCCGCGATCTCACGAGTTACGGTAAAATATCTATTATCTTTTTTACTTTCGAAATTAACTTTAATATTTTAGTACACGGATAAATATGTATATAGAAAATAAAGAATGTCACTCGTATACCATAGATTTGTACGGTTTTAGATAATGTTTTATATTATTATTGTCACGGACGAAGATATTAATAGTACCTCTCGTACAGGTTCTTTCGAAAATTCAGACGAACATTTTTTCCTCGTTTACTAATTTCAATGCACACAGGGTCTTGCGTGTCGAAAGTACGGAATGGATGAATTTAGAAAGATTCGTAACAGCGGATACCCTCCGAAATCCTGTTTTGTGTCGCTAATCTAGCGAGCAAACGTAAATATGTCTTGTCATAGGGCATAGGGTATCAAAATTCTACCGTATGTATATGTATAGTTGCAATACATATGTATGTTTGTATGAATCTTTTTGCTTATTTTAGTCTACTAAATTCGTCGACTGGACGTCTCGCATACAGATTTCGTCGAAGTGTTCGTAACGATGATCCTTTGAGTAGCATCATGCGACAATAACGCTTCTGCTTTGTTAATTAGGTCTGCGGTTAATCGGTCGAGAAACGTTTAAGGAAATTGGTTGGCGCAACACTAGATAACCAATAAGTAATTTGCTGCAATACTTGAATACGTTGCCTGCTGCGTCACTCGTATACGTGTATACATAAGTAAACATAAAAATTAACTTTAATGTTGACGTATCAAGTGTACCAAACGATGCACAGTTTTCGCTTACATAAATAAATCTTTACGATTTGAAGAGTGCACGTGCTGTTTCACGTTTCATTAGTCCCATTATGTGAAATTAACTTTTATCAATAGTACGTAGAAATTCATGCGCAGAATCCACGAGTCTGGCTACATAATTTCAAACGCATCGTTCGCACAACTAATTCAGTTAATTAATTGAACATGCACAAGCAATTGTAAAGCCTGCAATTTGTTAACTTTATATTTCCAAAATTAGTTGCTACGTCCTAATGTTTATTTGATACGACATATCGTAGAAAATACAATGAATTTAAATAAAATCGAGTTATCGGTCATCGATACATATTCTCTTTCGGATGATGAAACAACCGAAGGAAGGAAAAACAGCCGCATTACCAAGAAGCTATTCAATTACAACAGATAATGTAACAATACTTACATCAAACTTTACCGCACCTTACGATTGATTACGACGATTTATAGGGATAGTTCGATATTCGTCAATTTGGTATACGTATCTGGACAGTATAAACATAAAGATTGGAATTATAAACTTACAAATTTAACTTATAGCCACCTACTGACAAACTAATGTAGTTACATACATACTAGGATAATTATGCGTATATCCCACAGAGGGCAGTTTATGCTAATACACATTTTATTAGCCAGAGATCCTCTGATAAGAATCGTGCAATAACGTTCGCGATTCTGATTGGTGCTGTCGTATTTAAACGCAAAGAATAACATGACATGCATACGTACATACGTGCATGCATTCATACTAGCGCGGCACGGCTGTGTTGCCGTTTTATTTGGTCGTGTTACTGCACGTGCATGTGAATATGGACCACACACATGTGTGTCGTAGATTTCGCTAGAAAATGGCAATTCAACCACTTAACTTTACCCTTACTACGTGACCCGTGTTAGTGGCCCGTGGGCTTCTAATGAAAATATCAACTTGACGCAACGACAACGTTGCGTGCATGTTGGCCTCTCAATTTGGAAACTTGTACATCGAAGTCTCCGAGTGTAGTTTCGCTTCTGGTATATAGTACTCCGTGCTCAAATTGACCCTCTACTTTACTCCACTCTCTTGTTGTTTAATTACTTCGTGACTAAAATGTGCGTCCGAGTCCGAACTGTCCGAAGTTGTGTCATGATGATATGTTAGTGTTAGTAGTGATGTGGAACTTTGCAATAGTGAAAATATGATGAAAATAAATCGAATTTTTGATGTAGTATTTCTACTGCTAGCAATAATATTGAGTGTAATACCACAGTGTTGGTCTACTTTATCAGACAAACGATTATGTTATGACCCTGACTGTTCGGGTAATTGAAGCCATACTTTAACTTCAATATGTATTTAATTTACACCGCATTCCTTTTGTAAATCCACTTACGTTATTTAATAATATGTGTTTCATGTAGAACCTATATCTGTGGCTAGAACAACAATTCAGTATCTGGCACCCGATGAAGGGTTCCTGTCATTCGGTTCCAATGTAGAAGTCACAGTTTACAGTAAAGAAGCAGGCAGTAGAAAAGATTTGTGGGGAATAGAGGTACATTTAACTTTTTATTAACTTTTATTTTCATATTGTAAATCATATGTTTCCAATATATGTATTTACGTTTAACCCTTTCCAGTTGAAATCTTCGATATTCCAGGCAATAATATGTTTACTTTTGTATAATAATGTAAGATTATAAAAATATAGAGCATGATATTTTATATACATTTTAGATTTAAATACCCTGAAATAATCTGACTGCAAAGGGTTAATTCTTATATGCACAAGTAAATATAAGTACAATCAGCTAATTTCAATTGCAGCATGGTGGTAAAAGAGGATATGCACCAAAAATCTTTTTGAAAGAATACAAAGTCCATCACAAAAATTTGAAACATGAAGTACCTATTGAATCAACACTTCTTAGTTATAGCAAATCTAATAAGAAACATCAGTCTGAAAAGATTAGTGACAAGCTGAAACCAATTACAGAGAATGTTCAAGCGTCAAGTGTTCCAACAACTATAGATGTAAAATCTACAAAAGAACTGCCAAATAATGTAAAATCCCTATATGAAGTTATCGATGGTACAACAATCCATGTAAATCCTACTAAATCTTCTACAGAACAAGCTTTTGCGACAAAAGTTTTACAACCAGCAGTAGTGCCAAACAAAGAAGATACAGTTGTTAATGTAAAAGTAGATGCCAATAGTGAGAAAGTAACAACAAATATTTTTGCAAAAGATGACAAGTTATCGCAAGAAATTTTAAATGGCAAAGAGAAAAATGATGGACAAAATATGTCCCAGAATGATAATACCGATGTTGACAAAACTCCTGAGAAAGTACCAGATTTATTTCAGATTATTGGAATAAAACTTCCATCGATGGATATAGGTGCTAATTTGATAAATAATTTGTTTAATGCAGCAGACGAGGAAGAAGAGGCAGCAGAGAAAATAAAGAAGGTAACAGCTATCGAGGCAGAACATGTAAAGCCATCGAAAGAACAAGTTATTCCTTCGACACAAGATGTTGAATCATCAAAAGAACAAACTATTCCAGCGGTACAAGATGTAAAGCCATCGAAGGAACAATCTGTTCCTGAAGGACACGGTGTCAAAATACCAGAAGAACGATCCATTCCTGAGGTACACGATGTAAAGATAGCAGAAGAACGATCTGTTTCAGAGTTACAAGATATAAAGTTGCCAAAAGACCAATCTCTTCCCAAGATACAGGATGTAAAGGCACCAAAAGAACAATCTGTTCCTGAGGTACAGGATGTAAAGATATCAAAAGAACAAGCTGTTCCTGAGATACAGAATGCAAAGGCACTAAAAGAACAAGTTGTTCCCGAGGCACAGGATTTAAAGACACCGAAAGAACAAGTTGTTCCTGAGACACAGGATGTAAAGATACCAAAAGAACAATCTGTTCCTGAGACACAGGATGTAAAGATATCAAAAAAACAAGCTGTTCCTGAGGTACAGAATGCAAAGGCACTAAAAGAACAAGTTATTCCTGAGACACAGGATTTAAAGACACCAAAAGAACAAGTTGTTCCTGAGGTACAAGATGTAAAGATACCAAAAGAACAATCTGTTCCTGAGACACAGGATTTAAAGATACCAAAACAACTTGTTCCTGTGGTACAAGATGCGAAGGTAACAAAAGAGGAAACTGTTCCAGAGTTACAGGATGTAAAGATATCGAAAGAACAAGCTGTTCCTGAGATACAGAATGTAAAGGCACTAAAAGAACAAATTGTTCCCGAGGCACAGGATATAAAGACACCAAAAGTACAAGTTGTTCCTGTGGTACAAGACGCGAAGGTAACAAAAGAGGAAACTGTTCCAGAGTTACAGGATGTAAAGATACCAAAAGAACAATCTGTTCAGGACAGACAAAATGTAAAGTTAGAAGAAGAACAGTCTGCTGGTAAACTTCAAGATAAGAATATGTTGAACACTACTGTTGGAGATACTACAGTTACAATATCAAATGAAATTGGTCCTACTGACTCGGTGTATACAATTTCAGCAAATGGTTCTGAAACAGATACAAAAGTTGCTCTGAATGTTACTGAACTTTCTAATAAAGAAAATATCCATTCTATGGGGAGTACTCAGTTAGACACTGAAGAAACTAAATTAGTCGAAAACAGTAACATTCCCGAAACGCGATCAACAATCCTTAATATTAAACATACTGTACCGTTACCAACAGGAATGGACATTAACAGTTCAACAGAATTACCCTCTTCTAACATTGATGAAGATGGGGGCAAACAGAGTTTCAATGTGAGTTTCGATAGTATTTCTCAGGCGTCACCTTCAAAATATTTATCCGAAAATGCTACAGAGACAATAATTACTTCTGGTAATGAAGAGAACAGTGAGGAACCGCTGGAGAATATAAAAGCAATTGTAGAATTTGGAAATTTCAGTTATAATAATGAAGCCACAAATGCAACTGAATCAGGAGATACAGAAAACCTTGCGAAGATTGATACAAACGAACAAGTTAAAAATTTGGACGACAGTTCGGATTCTGCTGAATTTAATCTACATCCGTCGGGATTTATGTATACTACTAAAGAAGGTAGTATAGTTTCAGAAAATGTGGCAAGCATTAATGAATTTCGTAATAGAAATTTATTGAATGCCGATACAGGGGAGCACAGTGAAATTGGTAAATGTTTAAATGCTTGGTACAGGTTTTAAACAAACTTATAACATGATATTAATTAAATTAAATTTTATGTTTATATTAAATAGAAAGCACGAAAATTGAACAAACTGCAGAAGAAATAACATCGGATGATGATGAACATCAAACAGAAGGTATATTGTACTCTTAAATTTAGTATTAGCGTTACACATTGTACATTAAAAAATAATTATTACTAATTTTTATGAAATATTTTATCAGATTCTTCCGAGGTCTGTACAGCTGATAATGTCGAGTGTTCCATCCAAGTTGAATCTCAAGATAGTTTTATTACCGATGTAAGCACTTATATAATATAGCTTTTCTAAGTTCACGTGTATAAACTATAATACTTTATTTCATTAATCATTTCAGGATGAAACTTCGGACAGTATGGAAAATTTAATAGAGAGCATAAGTTTAGTAAGCAATTATTGGATGACATTCGTGTATCTAATTGTCACCGCTACTGCAACACTCATATTTTCTTTAGGATATTATTATATTGAGGTAGTATATGCATATTATATAAGAATTAATTAGAATATGAATGAATTTTAATAAATCACATTTTTATAGAATATGAGAAGAGATGGACAGTTAATAGCTAAAATCAATAAGCTTGAGAAGGATTTACTTGTTTCAACAAAAGAGAGTTCGATGTTGAAAGATAATTTAAAAGTAACCAAAGATAAGGTAATAAGATATATTTTGATTGTATAATAATTTTGTGTTTATAAATTTTTGCTAGTTAAAAAATATACATTTTAGTTGAATTGTATCGAAGATGAATCATTCGGTTCCAATGAAATGGTTCTTTCTTTAAAAGCTGACTTAGAAGCATCCCAGGTAAAATAGTTAAATTTATACAAAATATGTACTCGCATCTCGAAAAGTACGTAATGTAGAACACTTTAATGACTTTTTGTAGATTGTGAAAGCAGAATTGGAAGATCAAGTTTCTATGTTGGAGAAAGATTTAGAAAGTGCTACCGAAGCGGGACTAGAATTAGAGCGAATGCTGCGCGAAGTTCTTTCCTCGGATAATGAAGTTAATCCGTTAGCCCAATCAGTAGAAGACCTTCAAACACGATTAAATGCTCAACAAGCCGCGAATGAATCTTTAACAAGTGCTCTTAACTTAAAAACCCAAGAGGTAAGTGCTAATCTATAAATTTTGCAGTGTCTACGATTGTTCTAAACATAAGGCATGCTGAAATTTATTTTATGGAATGCAAATTTATTCGCAGCTTGAGTTCGATAAAGTTGAGGTTTGTGTTCATATGAATTTGATAAGATTGATTTAAAATTCTTAATTTGTATGGATGTAGCGTAACATAAACTATTTTGCAGAATGAATCTTTATCGACAGAATTAGCGTTCTATAAAAAGAAACACGAAGAACTTGAAGTCGAACTTGTTCGAGTAACAGAAAGCTTCAAGTCCGAAGTGGACAGTAAGAATAATATACACCAAACATTGACTGATAAGGTTCAGGAATTAGAGATACAAATGAAGGACGTAGGTGTATAATAATATAGTAATTAGTAACATATAAAAGCATTAATTTGTTATTTGAATGAAAAATATACAGTATATAACTTTTTTTTTATCTTTGTTCATAGATTTCTAACGAAAAAGTAGCCTTACAAAAAGAATTGAAATGTAAAGAAGTGGAAACTAAGGATCTCATGGATGTTATTAATCGATTAAATTCTAATTTGGATTTGGATAAGTTATATAATGTAACTCACATTAAAGCAGAAGCGAAAGCTTTACTCGAAGAAAGAAACGAATTAAAAATACGATTGACCGAAGTCGAGGGTGCTCACAATTTATTGGAAGGTATTTTTCATGCACATTCGCATGGCACAAGAGTTATTAGCTATATTACCTTTTGAATTTCAGAACATGTGAAAGTTATCAAAGAGGAAGTGTCTACATTAAGTGAACAATGCAAGACAGCAGAAAAGGAGAAAAAAGATGCAGAAACTCGTCTCGAAGTTTTATCAAATTTCTTTAAAGAGAAAGAAGCCCAAAGACAAAAGTACCATAAAATTATTTTAATTATTAAATTATGTTAAGTCAATTATACGTCGTCCGAATTAACATACTATGGTATCATAGGGAGGAATCTATTTGGTTACAACAACAAGGTGAAGTTGTATCCACTGTAGAACGAATCCAAACAATGCAATCTGAAATACAAAACTATAAGTGAGTATTGACGAATGAATCATCTTGCTGCAGCTATTTTATTAATATGATATGTAACGTATGTTTATGTGCCTGATTGTTAGGCAACAAATTGAAATGTTGAAACGGGAAATATTAGATCAAGAAAGAGAATACGAAAATCAAATTTCTATAATTGAAAAAAATGCTCACGAGCAATGGGTAAAAATTTAGTATATTATCTTATATTTGGTTGTAATCTAATATTTATGTATAAACGTTTAATCAATTCCGTTTAAAGATAAAGGCGCGCCAAGTTGAACGTCGCCTGGAAGAGTCCAAAGTCGAAGCAGGACAATTACGTAACCGGCTTACACTCATAGAAAAGAATATTAACGATGTAGACCCGGAAGTAAAATTACACCGTAAGTCTTTGTACTATAAGATAATTGTGCCCTATTGTCGTTATTCGTTATTTCAATAGCACAGGTTCTTTAAGCAGCAACTACTACTACTACTACTACTACTACTACTACTACAATGGTATATTAATCTTCTTGGTTACATAGTATTACATATTATTCTTTCACCGGCTGAATTTGTGCTATTCTGTAATAATTTCATAAAATTTAGTACTAATAGCATGCACAGATATGGATGTACTATCTATTTATACACACTAATTAACATATCTACAACGAGGATGACCAAAAATATTCAGATCCATCTACGGTTAATGCAACCCCTAAATCGGTAAAACAGCCTTATATGAAAATTATACTTTCTTACACTGATTTTCAAACAGGCATGGAAGCAAACGGGGAGACGGCAACGTCGCCTCCATTATTCATAGGAGCAGAGTCGTCGAGTTCTCCTATAATGTTTTCTGGTTCCTCGAATGTTCCTCCTCCGCCACCGCCTTCGTACTTGCACTCACTATTTCCTCCGTATTTACCACCTCCGTTACCGAACGCATCGAACGTACCACCCTATGAAATTAGTCAACGACCACCACCATTGGGTGGCCGATTATCTTCACCTCCACCTATGCCTTTACATCCTCCGAATTCCAGCAGGTACGATAACGCAGGTTCTCCGCCGCCAATGTCCCCGCATTTACTTCCGTCTTTCCCTAATCTCAGAATACCACCGCCTTCATTTGGTAATGATCATTTTCCTGGTCCTCCACCGCCTCAGTTCGTTAACGATCATTATCCTGGTCCGCCACCTCCCCTTGGTTCGATTATGCCAGCACCCCTTGGAACGACGCATTCATGGGGGGAAGAACCACTGACGCCTCTACGCAATTCCGGTTACCACCTATCTCAACGAGAACGTGTACAAAATCACAAAGGTTTGTGTACAACATGACCAAGCGACAACGAGCAACTGACACATCCATTAATAGTTGATTTCATCGCCACTTGAAATAATTTTGCATTCTTTTTTCTCTTGATTATTTTCTTCCTTCTTTTTGTTGTGCATGCAAGGACGCAAGCGATTCTCTAAAGTGAGACAATTTTGGAGTACTTTGGAAGGAAATAATTGCAAATGAATATGGTACATTAGATAGAACAATCTGAAAGTGACTTTGTTTATTTTTATATGTAATACATATATAAAATATCGTAATCGAGTCTTATGTAAAAATACATATCGAAATGATCTTATTATGTTGTACATATTTCTTGATGTATTTAAAGGTATCGGATGAAAAAGAATTGACGGAAAAAATACTATAGTAGCGAATAAATATTCTCTGATTATGAAAGTCTTTCTATAATACTAGTAATTCTATTAACTATTAGTAAGCTAGCGGTACAGAAATTTGTAAAATCGATAATGTTTATTTAATTTCGCAGTTATCATTGTTTCAATATATTTTTATTAAAGTTGATTTCGATATTTTTCAGCAATACGTATCGAATAACATTGTCGTATATTTCATTTTTGAATTTTTTGTACCGTAAAAACTCATAAAATACATTTTTTTATATTTCTCCTCTGATATTAAAGACTACAGATAATAAACAAAATATACTGGAAGATTTTAGTAATATATTCTGTTCACAGGTTCCTTACATTCTTCAGGAGAATCATTGGACAAATCACATGATAGTAGCAAAGCTTAACTCCTTTATTTTGTTACCAACCGTCGTGTTACGCTAAATTTGATACTGTAGGGATCGATACTCAATATCTGAATTTTTCGAGTGATCAACAGTGATGCAGGATATGTTAATATTGGCAGAGAGACTAGCATTTATTATTTTGCGACATAAACACTTACGTGTTTTAATATATCATTTGTAAAATGTGATATATGCATATTTATTCGATACAAATGTGTCTTATATCAAATTTCATCACTGTTGTATAAAAAAAGGAAGGAGGAGCAACTAATTGTACATATACATTTGATTAATGTTTAAGAATATATTGAGACATAGAGCAGATTGTAAAAATGTTTCTTTATATAGATACGTATAATTCTTTATCCAAGTCTGAAACTTATGTACTTTCATGATTTATCAGTTTTGTTATTATCCATTTTACACTTTACTTAAGTGTAAAACTTACATGTTGTGCTGGTTATCAAGCAGGAAATAAATTGTAATACGAATTTG